AAATTTAAAATACGCCGGTATCATGTTTACTCAATTCATAAAATATGAATAATAAATTTATAAATTAACAGTAAATTTATAAAAAAAAAAGTTAAATAATGTTTCTGCTTTTATATAAATTTAGTAATATAGCATAAAGAATTTGCAAGTCATAAATATCACATTGGTGTTTAAACATATTTTGACGTTAGAAGAACAACAAAAATATATTTCGAACGTTTATTATAATTTTTGACATTGAACTAAAAATATTAATTTTTTATATAAGCGCTGATAAAATACCAAGATATTCTTACTTTAATAGAAACCAATTACTTCAATCTAATAAGAACTCTAAGATTTTATTTATTTTACTTCATTTTATTGGATAATGTCGGAGCAATGCAACGGGGCTACTACTTCCTTTCCTTCTTTGTATGTCCACGTTTTTTAATCGCCGATTGGAGTCGATAGACCATATCGAGTCGCGTGTATAAACTAAACGAAAAGAAACTAAATATACATCAAGGCTGAATGTCTCTTGTACGTCATTTTATTTATACGAAATTAATAAAATAATATGAAAATTGTATAAAATGATGCTGAAATTTATATAAAACTGTGTTCAATTTTTAATTATACTTATAATTTTATTGCATTTTATTTTTCGTATTGTTGGCAAATAAAAATTTTCATTATATATACCATTATTCCCTTATACCTATATAGTAATTATTTTTACAAAATACATTTTCTTATACGTATATTTATACATTTTTATACGTATTGCATCATCTTCTTTTATTATAAAAGAGGCTAAACCGCCGAATCAAAAATTTTGGAGGAGTAAAAATAAGTATTACTATTGATATATTACTTCATTAAGTACTCTCTTTTAATCAATTTATTTCTGTAGTACATTTTCTAATTAAATCTTTATTTTAATATTGAAATTGCAATTCTCTTCCCTCAAGGAAGCATAAGGAGAATTGAAGGGATTATATGAAAATAGGTACAAAAAGTCAAATTAGATGGTTGACGGAAGATTAGCTAGAAAGACAAATCAGTGGATATCACTTTGTTATCTTAATTATGAACCCGACTAGATTATTGGCTGTATTAGGGAATGAGTCATAGTGAATGAGACATGAAGGACATGAAATGGAATGTTGAAGTCGAATTTCCCATTTGATTACTTAATATTAGTTGATACCAGGGATTTTAGTCTATTCATTATATTCATGCCTAATCCTTCATCGCTCTTAGATGCTACACCATATTACATTATTCTCCTTACTCACACATTCATGACTGATTATATATTCTATTTGTAAATATCATATTATTTATATTAGCACAAAATTTAATGCACAAATAATGCAAGAAAATAAATTTTTTAATTAATTGTATTCCTTACACAAGTTTTTTTTATGTAGATAGATTGATAGAATTGTCCATTGAAAATGAACTGTTTTCCAGAATTTCTCTCCAAGAATTAAGAAACGGGAAGCAAAAATATCTTTTTACATAATGGTATTCGCGCAGACCACTATTACATTAAAATGAAACTACCAAGGTGAGTTCATATGAGGGATTGGCACGACTATAAGCATTTTCAAAATATCACTTGAGCAATAAAAATGCATGACTTTGATGCACTTGATTTATGAGTCCTAAACCGACTTCAACTGAGGTCCAAATTCCCATTACGCGGCTTTGCAGTGACTCTATCCCTCTATCCTTGCGTGCTTGGCTTTATTTAATACTGTACGAGAAGATTTATGAAGAAAGGCCAAAGATAGAATCTCTTGTCTTTGCCCAACGTCAGCATTGGGGAAAGATTTTTTCTAGCCTTTGATTGTGCAATATTGATAACTGTGTCACAAAAATGTAATTATCGGTTGATGAAAAATAGCAGTGGAACACTTTTTTAAGACCGCGAAGAGTTATTGAATTTATTTGGTCACATTTAATTAGTGTTTGACTATCATCTGTTAAGGTATTAGAATTATTTCTAATTGTACTATTACTATACTATTACTAGTTACAAATAGGTTGACAATCTTTACAATGTAACGTCCATCATTTTATTCTGATCGTGAGTATTTAAATAATAAATTGTGTAATTGAATTAATTTATTCAGAGCTAATAATAACTTAAGTATTTAAAAAGAAATTTTATCTTTATTTCCAGAAAATTATTTAACTACATAAATAAAATTGTAAATTCGTAAATATCATTTACTGATTTTCTAAAAATAAATTATTTCATTATATTGAAATTGTTATTATTATGTTTAATATATAGTTTATATTCTTTTATATAATTCATTTTCATCTTCATTAAAATTTTAATGTACTAAATTTGTATTACAATACTTCCTTCGTTAAATTTCGAATATATTATGTCTTATCATGAATAAATCTACAAATTTAAATAAAAAAAATGATAATAGATTCTATATTTCTTAAATAATTTTTAGTAATGGACAAAGATACCGAATGAAATATTATTAAGCTTTATTAAGCATATATGTAAAAATCAAATAAATATCTAAGTTTCGCTACATGAGCTTTATTATCTAACATCTACTTATCTTTACTTATAAATCTTTTTTGAAATAATCATCAAATTATTCTAATAATTAGCTTAATAATGGCTTCAGCCCATCAAAAAGAGTATCTCCGGCGGCAACGCCTTCATAAGAAAGATTTGCCCCTCTCCGGGACTGGCGACATTAAAGGCACACATGCCGGACGTCGCACGTGCCAGGTTTCGGGTTGCAATGAATTTTAGGAAATGTTTTTCACTCAATTGTTTTCAAATGTTTTAATTCCAAAAATATTCTCGCGTAAACAGACTCGCCGCGTATTGTTAATAAATAGCAACGGTCGTTTATTGTATTCAAAACAATGGCTACGTCTGTGGTACGAAGAATAATAGAAGTGGTAGTTACAAGTATTTTTCAGATGAATAAAATTCGAGAGATTTTTCTCAATTCGAACAATATTCATTATTTAATGCAAACGCAATAAGCAAATGCAGGTACTTTTATATGTGTTCTCTAAATGTAAGGTGTTCATGAGTAGTACTCATTTAGAATTGTTTAATACTCATTGAATTAGATATAAAACAATTACTGTTGAGGTATACTTAATTGAATAATATGAAAGCTAATCATAATCTTCTTTCGACAATTATTTAACTATGTAATTCATAGTTCCTCCAGTCTACAGGTCAACAAATATAAAATTGATGAATGTTATACTGTAAAGTTACTTAAGCTTTTCTCACTATATAAATATTTAAATACGTATTTAAATATGTGAAACATTAAAAGAAACAGTACGTAAGGTAAAATAAGTATGTGATGTTGGGAATCTATCATACATGTAAGTTAAGAAAATTGCTCGTCTCCGCGACATTATCATTTACGTGATAAGAAAACGTGTACGGGTCAGCTGCTTATACTCATAAGGAACTGCGATTTTTCATTTCTCGTACAGACTAGAGAAAAATAAAGTAGACAAGATCGGGGTGAGGTAGCTTTCGTGGCCAATTACTCGTGCGAGAAATTTATTTATGAACGGAAACAAGGCGAAACCGCGAAAGCCCCTTCATCCTAGCGAGTGTTAGAAAGGATTCTTTTATGCGTCAAAGGGATTCATTGCTAAATCGTTGTCTAATGGCGGAAAACAGAATCAGACCTCCCTCGCTCTTTTCCACTTTCTATACCTTTCTTACCGAAGCCAAATACTCTTAGCCCTTCATATATTAATAAATTGAAGGAAGGCAATGACATTAATACTATCTAGCTCCTTTTTCATATTCTTCCCTAGTTGGTGTTTTTTCGTGACTTTTTCTCCAAATGAACACATTAAAATTCACATACTTGGAGATTTCGCAAAGATAATAATTAAAAAATTCATCATAATTGTCACATGCTACATAAGCTTTATATATTTTCCGAGAAATCTTCCAACAGTTTAACCAATTTCTTTACAGTATCGAATAAAAAAAGTGAATCGTGAATTTTAGACTACCTTTTTATATGGTTTAAATTCTATTTTACTAGATGATTTGAATGTTATTTTAATTGATATTTATCATCGAATATATGTAAGAATAGAATCAATTTAATTTGTACTTTATGTATGTAACTGCTGAATCTAAATAAATATATTATATATATTCAAATTTATTTACATACTTCGGATTCTTTCATTGTTCTCGATTTATTTTATTATTTACAATATTGGAAAGGAGATATATGTAAATATATATATAATATATATATATTTACAAAAATATCAAGACTAATATTTTACATCAATTTTTCTATTTCAGTAAAATACAACTAAGATTCTTTACATTTTCAGCCACTTCAGAAAAGATAGATTTATAATAACAGTATTTCATATTAAATTATCTAATGTATTGATTTGAATTTTCTTTCTCCTAAATTTTTTTGACGTGTCTATACATCTTTACCATCGTTACTCTCATGTTTATTCTGTTTCTGATCTCTCACATTCAATTAAAAATTACTTTGTTAATTTGGTTCTACCATTTAAATATTTCTTCATATTTGGATTCGAAAATTTTTTTTTTCCCAATGTAAATTAAATATTTCCTAGAGCTCATTTTTCGTCTTTTTTATTTTAAAAATTTTTAAGTCACCATATCATGTCTAGATAATATTATTTTTAATAACAATTATTATATTATTTTAGAATAAACATAATTTTCTTGAGTAATTATTAATGAAACGGTAATTGCAAATTGTTTAAGACCCATTTTCAATAATCTTAATTAGATTTTAAATAGAGTCGCCGCCTTTCCTGATGTTGAGACACACAGGAACCCCAAATTTTTATATAAAACATGATTTTACTCACATTTTAAAATATTTCCAAAACTTATGAAAGCACAATAATGCATAATGTAACTCTCATAATTATCACAAACACTGGCAATCTTTAAAAATATAAACAAAAAGTCACGTTCTTTCTGATTATAGATACCAGTAGAAAACGTCCTGCAGTACCCGTCCATAATGCCGATGAAGTTCCAGGAGGCACCAAATTCAATAGGGTTACACCTCAAGCTCAACGACCGTCATTTAGCAGGTAGCGGAGGTCTACTTCGAGTCCGCTGCTTTGCTCCTGTTGGTTCACACCCATTTCAAGCTGAGCGCCGCATCCCTTTAATCAATGCGAAGAATCAACACTTCAGTTCTCGAGGCCTGAACAATCTTGCTGCGACCGCCAATATTGTCATTTCTAATTCCCTAATTCTTGTAATTGGCCTCGTCCTCGTAACATGATCTAATTTGAGGATCGTCCGCTTCGTTTCTTAATTGATTTTGTCTATTTCTGGGGATAGGTGGTAAAGATTGGCTTGAACATTATGCTACCTAGAGATAATTAATGCGTCTATCACTTAACTTCTTGGTGTGGGTAAACGATGTTATGAGTCGGCCCTTTGAGACAAATTATTGAGCAATATTGGTTACAAGTTTGATATAACCCAATATTTTGTATAAGTTTTAAAGGTTTATCGTTACTATATTTCAAGTTATGTACATTTGTACTTTGTGTATTCGTACTTTGTGTATTCTTAGTTTCAGTTGTTGCTATTAAGGTTCGTATATTAAAGTTCAGTGCGAGTGAAATCCTTTTATTTTTAAGTTTGAGTGCAATCATAAATTTGATATGCACAGGATGAGAGTAGTACGAGTCCCGGAAGGAACATAAAACTAGGTACTTTCTTATAAACCCAGGAGTCTGTTGAAGGTGATGACGAGATGTTTATTGTTTTAATAATCCTGATAGTTTAGGCAATACGAGTTATTATCAAGAAGGTTTAGGCGAATGACTGTAGGAGTTTAGTTGTTCTCTCTGTCTTCATTTCTATCCATCATTTATGGAAAAGCTGATATTACATCATACATGAAACATACTGTTTCATTTTTAACAAAGCGTACGTGAAAAATATTTATTGATTTATTACTTGGTGTAAATGATTTATTATCAGATTTGAAGAAATATGGATTGGAATGATATTATACATAAGTTACTGAAATATCTATATTTCATTTTTGGTTTGAAATCTATTTTAATCAATGAATTATTCTGTTTGCTGTAACTCATATAATCGATTCTAAGACCAATGCTTTCAATTATAGAAGCAAAACATTGCCCACAGTTCATATACAATTGTAGTAAACTAATAATTTATAATACAAAAGTTTTAAATACATCAAAATTTGAGCAAATTAATGAACAAAAATAAATTAAATTGATATAATTTATATCGATAAAATATTATGTGTTAAATATGAAATTTTTTAACTCATTCTCATACGAGCTTTCATAAAATATTATGAAATGTGAAAAAAGTTTAGCAATCCAATTCTTTCAATCATTCATAATAACCAAAAGCTAAAAACTAAAAATAAATACTATTTAAAGAAAATAGAATAATTATAACGAGAAAATTGATGTTCACTATAATAACATTTTAATGGAATATTAATTTTTTTGTCGTCAAAAATAATGCTATATATATAATATGATTATTGAGTTCTTTTTAAATATAAATGCTTTAATTAAATAAATTTAATTTATCTATTTATTTGTTGATTTAAATGGTCGAAAAATTGATTTTTATACAAAGAGTTGCACTAAGCTTCTATTTGTCAATTATTAGGGACACAATAATTAAAATTGAATTTAGACTAATCAAAAATTTTTATTATGAATTCGCGTTAAAATTGCGTTGAAAAACAAATTCTAATTTATTTAGTGAATTCTCTTATTGTATATATATTTGTAAATTATAATACAAATTACACTGGGATTTGATTACGTAATAAAAATTGAATTAAAAAAATTGTTATACTATTTTTATATAAGAGCAAAGTTTGGATTAAAAGAAGATGAAGAAAACAAATTAAAATTGTTTTAAATAAAAAAATATACGAATAAAATTTCAAAATATATAAGTACTTAAAAGAAGTTGGAAGCTACTACTTAAAAATATTTTGAAGCTTTGAAGCTTTGAAATATAAGCTGGTGTCCCTGTAAATAATAAATTTTAATAAATCACTTTAAAGAGACAAAAAAGAAATTTTGTAATACAAAATAAAATAAAGTAATGCCATTATTATTTCTTATATTTTATTATATATTATATTCCAAATTTGTGGAAATCTATTTTATCATACGTACTGTGAATACTTGTATTATTTGAAATTTTATCTCGTGATAAAAACAATTAAATAAAAAAAGTAACAGCACTTACCGTGCATCATATGATTACTATTACGCATTACAAAATAACAGTTCAATTAAAAGAAAAAGAAAAGCAATGAATTTATAAATTGTATTTATTAATTAAAAAATTACTTGAAAATGAATTCTTCTTGGGTTTGCATTTTCACATGTGTTAAAGCTGAAATTACACTTTCAATAAATTAATGTTACTAAAGCTAATTACAGTAAACCGAGCCTCTACTTTGTATGCCCACTCGTAACTCTACTCAAAAGCGTTGGCCTCGGTGTCGCTGGATTGAATGGTACGTTAACTATATTTTTTTATGATTAGCAACCCATGAAGATCGTAAAAGCTAAATTTGCGTATAATCAACAAAAGATGATATAATTTTATTTATTGTATCAAATGAAAAATAATGTTCGAGTGTATCTATAATGTCAAACTCAAACTATTACTAAAGTAGAAAATATTAATGTTGCTCTGCGATATACGAGGCATACTCATTCAATATTTATAATCAATTAAAATGCATCTTCAAAGATTGCAAATTTGAATAAATACTTAAATATTGTTAATGAAGTAGCTCTGAAGAAAGATAATTTGTAAGACATTGGGTTTGTTTCACTTTATTTACGATCTTATAACTGAGATCGTTATGAATAATAGTTACATTCCAAAACTTGAGTAAAGTTATAGAACTCACCATGAATTATATTTTCTCATATAACTAACTTTCACATAAAAATAATTCAATACCTTGAAGCTAGAGCGTAATGTTTCAGCTATTTCTCAAACTCAGGTATTTCTCATTGTAAGAAGTGAAAATTCAGTTCGATATGCGAGATAGAAAACTATGAATTTCTTTTTGAACAACGGAAAAAGAAGAAAACTATGGAAAGTATTAAAAAAAATACTCGCTTAAAACAATTAATGTAAAGCGATAGGATTCTCATCCATATGCATGCATACAAAATGAATAAAGGAGCTTGAAGGGTGCATTAAATAATTTATTAACAATGCCGATGACACGCGATTTGATGTTGGTCTACGAAAAATAGGATCGAATTTAGCGAGATACTTTACGTACGTAAGTATACGTAGAAAATGAACTACAATTATTAAAAGAAATAAACAAGTAGAGGAGAATGATTGGGAAGGAGTTGCATAAAGGAAACTTTTTCATTAATGTATGGACAGAAAAGTATACAAAACATTAGCGGCGCGATTAAAATGAAATGGAAATCTGCCTGGAAAAGGAATCTTCCTCTAATTAGATATACTTACTTCAGGAATGACACCGTCAATTTGTTAGATCCCTTTTATGTAATTTACTAAAATTCATTCAATTAAAATATATGTAATAAATACATAACGACAATATTATAAAAGTAATTAAAATATGTGATATCGTATTTTTAATTTATATATAATAATTATTGCATTATAATGATTTGGAAATTTTATTCTCGAAATGCATGAAATTTCTCAGGATGTCAAAATCATAATACCATGAACACAATATTTATTATATCAATAAAAGTTGTGTCTTAGGTTAATAACCAATACCGAAGCATACATTTAATTTTCATATTAAGAACTTTTTACCGCACATATCACAGAATCTTTCTGTTCACCAAATAATGAAAAGATTGATAACATTCATGTGGTGCACACGATTTTAGGATCTTTCCTTTGAATCTACTTTTATGCATACATATTTGCATTTTGAAAATATACATTTAAAAATTGAAACGTATATTTGGTATCAAAAAACATTCTATCTATTATGTATTATTATAATTCATTATAATATATTTTATATAATATATTTTATAATTATATGACGGAAAAAATTAATGAAATGAGGAACTGCGTCACTAACGATTAACGATACTATTAACGATAATGCTTGTGGAGAAATTAAATATATATAACATTGGAGATATATACAATATTTTATAAAATTTTAAATTTCGAGCCAATACTGATCTCTCAAGATAAATTTTAAGCTTAAATTTTTCTACAATGTATACGCCGAAGTAAAAAATCAAAGTAAATCGATTTCATTTGAAAAATGCAAATAATCGATTAATATTATTATTTTATCTATTAATGTAACTATTGATTAATACTATTAAAATTTTATCACGAATTGATTGGTACATAATATTTATAAAACATAATTTATACAAAAAAAATTTATATATAAATGACAATTATTTTATTTACACTATAACAATATTAAATGACTCGTGAAAAACATTGATTTTCGATTGTTATCCATTAAAAACTCACAAGCATAATCTTAAAAATTTATATTTAAATAATATTTAAATAATTAGGTATGGATTCTCAATATTTTTATAAGAACCATTAATTATAGATGAATTTAAATCTATATTTTGTTTTGAAAATATCAACTTTGCCTTGTTTTAATCTAAGTGAATTTGCTGACATACTTTAAAATAAGTCTATAACTCATGGATATTTATTTTATAATTATTAATAAAATTGTATAAACAAATATCAATAATAACTTATTATAAGGAAGTAAATATTTGAATTCAATTGTAAATCAGAATAAAAAAGATGTAACAGCAATTATTAATATAAATAGAAAGTTTATCAATTAAATAATTGAATGAAAATTAAATTAATTAGTTTGTGCCAATAATTCATAACATACAATTCCAGAAAATCACAAATTAAACACAGATTAAACGCCGATATCACTTGATATAATTTTATTACCATAAATTTCCACATAGGATGTAAAACAGGGAAGTGCGTTTGTACCTCATTATATTAGATGGTACACTGTGCGACGTAATTCATGCTCGTGTTATGTCAGTCGATGTAATTTACCTTCGATTGTATCCAGCATCTAATTCATCATGGCAATATTTTGCGAAAGAAACTTTCACCAACTCGTGTGCGTCCATACACCCTTAATTCCACCTTTTCGTGTTCAAGAGTGAGAACTATACGATACAGTTGAACCTCGGCTATTAAGTCACAAACATTGTTGAAATGTTTCAAAGAAAGATT